GCTTCGGGTTCCGGTCCGTTAGAGTTTATTATACTGAACATTTGAGTCTTGTGCAGACCCTGTCTAGTCGCGTCTTTGGGCCGTTAGAGGCTTTGCAGGTTGAGGCTTAGGGCCAGTAGCCTGGGGGTCAGCTTTTGTTTGGTTTTGCTAGGGCTTGAGCTAATGGTTTAGGTTTAGGACGGTTGAGGCTCCAGGGTGGAAGGCTTAGGTTGTAGAATTGGTGTTTAATATCCCAAAAAACTTGGCATGAATCATGCATTTCTCAAACACCCAGCCCTGACCAATCGAATGCGCACAGCCCAGTTGCACGATGAAGGTCACCGTGCCCAGAATTGCCATAACAGTGAGAAGAGTCTTCAGAACCTCGGGTCGAAGAATTGGAGCCTTTGGGGTTCAGGGAGGGTCTCAAGAGTTGAGAACCTCGTTTCAAGATCGTTTTGATACCACAAAACAGTAAATCCAACATCTCCGAGCTCTTGAGCCTTCAGATGCGCAACCCACGCAACCCATGCCACTCAGTCGTTGCATTTGGTGCACCATGCTTTCATTGCCGGCTTGTTGGATTGGGGGGCCGATGAAATCATGTGACCTCCAAGTCCGTACTATTTACGGTGTTTCTATGGTTCAGGGTAGAGAGCCATTTGAGCCATGAGCTCAGCTACTTCTCAAAATCGACATTTCAACTGTGCTACCACGGAGCTCAAGTGCTGAACAACCCATGCAGGGCTTTGGGCCTGTGGTGGTTTAGGATCTGACTCATGCAATGCTGGGCAGCATTTTGCATAAAGGTGTAGCGACCTCACCTCCCAAGCGAACCCGTGGCCTTTGAACTCTCACCTCCTTGATGAGACTAACTGGCCCACCAAACCCCCAGCCGAGGAGCATCCACGTCCGTCACACCTGGGTACTGCCGATGGCCGATGTGACTGAGCATCTAGCGGAGAATCTAGCGTTAGGCACCACACTGGAAGAGAAGGTGTTCCTAGGGATCCTATACTATAAGGGTCGAAATTATACCTGTCATTACTCGAGCCGTATCCTTTCAGGTTGTTCGAGCTTTAAGGTTTTATGACCAGCCCTGTCGGCCCTGACTTGAGCCACACGTACTTGAAGGTTTCGGGTTTAAGGCTACAGGCTGTTACAGGGCTTGAGCTTGCAAGGTGGCATGAAGTTACGCCTGAACTCTTTGTGGCTACATACTGGATCCGCTACACGAAAAACGGCCTGAAGCCGTGAACCCTCAATCAGTCTCACAGGCCCTGAAAAGTGCTCCTAACTGACCCTCACGTTTCGATCCAGGCGACGTGGAATTTCACCCCGAGAAAGACCTGCATTCAATGCCATGGGATGGTCTGCGGTGGAAGCTTTCTGGCTTTACGGGGCCTGAGCCCTGGACGCAGGGTATCCAATGTAACGTAGGGATCTGAGTAAAAGTCGTCGATATATGGTTTGGGGGCAGATTCTGACAAAATGATCTAGGGATTACGAAGGGATGGCTGGATACACAGTATTCAGGCCCCTATACTGGAGGTTTCTGGGTTCAGGGGGTGATTTACAAAACAAGACTTCGGAAAGAACTTTGGAGACCGCCCGAGGTCTCCTTGCGCTGGGAGGGCCGTGTCGGAGTTGACTTCACACACAACATGCGTGTCAGGTTTGTTTAGGAACATTTGGGGGAATTAAGGTTTTTGACTTCGTGAATTGGGAAACGCCCGCGTCCGGTGGCACGGAGGTTTCAAGAGCTTGTACGTGTCAGCTACTGAGTAAAATCAGGACACGAAAGACACGAGTGCCGCAGCCGGCTGGTGTGCACCAATGGTGGTTTCAGCCGAATGCCACGGCTTTGGCCCAGAGCTCTAATCATAGTTCGACCTCTGCCGAAGACACACGCTAAAAAGTGGGCATCGGTTCGGCTAAACTTGCTAAACCTCCGCGCATGTCCTCATGCACGCAACAAACACGACGTTTTAAGGTACTTCCTCTTCATCAGCAAGGCCAAACACGCGAACAATTGCCGAAATACATCATACGGCGGCAGAATCCAACGGTCCTCACTTAAAAGCTTTCGGGCTTATTTGAAGGCCAAAGCCTCAACCTTAAACCCCGCAACTCTAAACCACACTTTATAAAGTTCAACCCCACATGCCTTAAAGCCTTCAAGGGCCCAACCCAAGGCCTTCGATGGCAAAGCCCATATTGTCCAGCCCAGCTCCATCGCCAAAGATGAGGCCACGATACAGCGACCTGGTAACTTCGACTTCTTGATCTCTATGGGTTTTAGAAGGAGCCTCATCGGTCTGTATGCGGGCGTTGTAGTGTAGGGTTTCGTGCAGGTTGTCGCCGGGGCCTTGCAAGCTTTGTTTGGTGTGTGTTTCTTCAATTTGGTCCGTATCGAACCCCATCGATGAAGCATCCTTATACTGTTCAGGGTCTACGAACTGACTGACCTAGAATCTAGTCTATGAGGGGCTTCCCAGTGTATCGGTCACGTTGAGAAGTCTCGCTGCGCTTATGGTGTTCGACTTAGAGTACTCAGGATGTGGCTCAGCTGCAAAATCCGGATTTCGGTATTCTTTCGGTCAGGTTTGGTGAGGCTGGGTATTTTCTTGGTCTGCTGCTTAAGCTCGAAAGGTTTTGGGCGAACCTCTAACAAGCTTGCAAACTTGGTACGAACTTCTCAGCCGAAGGTGCCAGCTGACGATGCCAACAGCCACGCTCCGATCGAGCATTACGGCAGTCAGGGCGAAGGCCAGAAAGAAGAGGCAGAAGATCAAGAAACTCGGTGGACAGTGCACGAATACCAAAGAGGTGGGGCTCTATGAATGGGAGAGGGCCAAGGGGGCTGCGGGTTTAGTCTCTGGCTGCGTTTACGTAGGTTACAGGGTTTTCAGGGCTAGAGCGGCTAGGGATTCTGGGACGGTTCAGGGGCAAGGGAGGGCTGTAATTCGAGGGCTGAGATGACTTGACCCAAAATCCTCAATGGCTCAAGGCCTACCACTACTACTACTACTACTACTACAACTACTACTTCTGCTACTACTACTACTACTACTACTACTACTACTACTACTACTACTACTACCACTACTACCAGATCCCTCCAAGTCAAGCAGCATCTCCCTCATGGCGCCGCTCACGAGAGTCTTTATCCTCAGCTCGCGACTAGGATCGTTTCTGGCTTCTTTGCTCAAGAAAAGAATTCATTGGGTTTTACGGTTCGGGTACAACACAAATTAAAATCTAGAGGGGCTCAGTTTTTTGGTTGTGTTTGAGCCGTTGGGCTTGATTCCGGTCGTCCATTCCCTCATCCACGTGCTAAGCCTTCGGACGCACGAATCTGACTTTGAGATTCAGGTCCTCGGATATCTAATTCATGTGGTTGCATGGTAGGCTGCTTTGCCGTTTTCACGGTCATAAGCACGGATGCACCAAAGCTCAGGTCGCACGGCGACGGCAAAATCATTCTGTGCTGGTCCCAGTCGGCCATTGCCTTCGAAATCCCGACTGTAGAACCAACTATCGAAATCATCGAAGAAACTGCAAGTAGCCCAAATAATTCTAGAAACATGTTATATATGTGTGCAAGACTTTACGCACTGCACCGAGCTTTACGGGGCTTGTGATGCCACGGAGCGCAGTACCACATAACATAAATACAAGGATCCTGCCGTTCAAGCACCCGCACCCCATTTTAGGGGGGATTAAATACAGGAAACTGAATTTTGAGATGCTTCGTCCTGCTTTTCTGGGCCTTGAGTTTCAGGATTCGAGCGCCGAGTCTCAGGACCAGGATCTTCTTCCCGCCAAAGGAGCTGACGCGCAGCATGTAGATCAACTTCACCTAAAGCCGCAGCGACGCGGAGCTTAAGGGTCTCGGAGATCACTCAGTCCTACAAAGGAGCTACGAGGCCCCAAAAGCAAGGCCAATGAGCCCAAAAGACGTGCCGCTGGCCCCCTGTAAAAATCCGAGGACCCGTCTCATGGAGTTCGCTTCTAACCCATATGTAGAACCTTTGAGGGCCCTCAACAACCCGTCAAGGACTCTGAGAGAGCGTTCATAGAAGACAAATTCTTCGGCTAAGCCTTCAACATCCGACAACCAAAATACAGTCCAGGAGCACAGTGCATGAAGAAGCACACCGCCAACAAGGCCTGTAGCAGGGTGTGGGAAACTCTTGCAGTCTTGCTCCAGGGTTTTTAGGGTTACGCTCTCGCAAAGGTTTGCAGTTCAGGGGCATTGCATCGAGATCTGCCATTTAATAGCAGCACAAGGGGTTGCAAATGGTCTGGATGGAGCTCCTGCCTGCGGATAGTCGGTCATCTCCCGACCGCAATCCGACGAGCACTGCACGCTGAGCAAGAAGAACGTCTTCAGCAGGCAGAGAATCCTCAGCCGACATAGCAGCTTTACCCTGGGCAGATCTAGGAGGCGTTGTAGAAATTAAGTGCAACTTGCATTCCTTCTTGAACACATGCTGCACCCACACTGGGAGTTATATTCCAGGGCGGCGAATCACCGCTTCGGGGCCTTGGGGCTATATAACCATGTTGGGTCCAACTTCCAAAGGGTCAGATACCATAGCCACTCATAACAAGTTGTGACAAAATTGTGTGATGGGTCTATCGCAACAACCAAGGAGATCCACCAGCCTGAATGTATAGATCTTGGTGGGCAAACGTCCCCGCCAGCAGTTGCTGTCGAAACTTGATCGGCTGTTCGGCCCCGAAACGCTCTGCCCAAGTACACCCATGCCCTAGTTGGCTTGCTTAGGGCTCAAGGCTGCGGATGCATGCTGTCGTGTTTTGTTGGTGTTGTGCTCGGAAAATACGGTTGTTGCGCGTCTTCGGGTTGCTTTCTTACCACACAGAAATGTCGACCAGGCCAGGACCGCAAAAGGACCCCACCTACAAATATCCTCGACGCTGACTGCAACTGCGACATGTGTACCTACGTTCTAGATTGTTGAGAAACAGAAACCCCTCCCAAACACTGAAGGTAACTAATCTCGAACGACCACCTTCCGCAAGCCGAAGCCATGGGGCATCTCTGGTGTGTTGGTGTTGTGGCTCAAGTCGAAGATTTTCATCGGATGCCAGAGCGCATGCAGGCCTGATCGCCTGAAATTGTGTGTGGATTTACTTGGCAAAATTTGGTGGAAGGAACTCCGGGCTTCAGGCTCCTCTTGCTGCTCACGGCTCTGTCTCCATCTGAGAATGACGAACTGTTACTTAGATTTTAGTTTGGAGAGAACAGACTGGAGACACTTACTGAGGACACTGGTCAACAGGTTCAGGGTACCAGGTACCACCTCAACAGGGCACATTGCAGGTCTTCTGTCCTTCTGAACCCAAGAACGAACCGTAAACTGAAGATCCGGCCTCAATCTCTCGAGCCTGAACACTCAACCCTACAAACCCTAGCTACTGTGTGAGAAGCTCATCAGACACCGAAGACTTGTCCAAACCTTTCTTGAACACAGACTCTGCCGATCAGCTGGGAAGCCACACTGTTACGGGCCGTACACAGTAAACTCTCGAATTCCTTCAAAACCCGTCGAGACCGAAGTCCGAATATGTGTACAGCCTCAAGCCTTCAAAACCACGCAAGATTGAAGACCTTACATGATACTTTTGAACCAGGAGCATAGACGTGAGACCCCACACGAAAAAACACTTTGCAGCAGTACATGACGCTGAATACAATTCGAGATCACACATCCGCACACTTCCATCAAACTAAACCGTAGACACTGGGACCCTAAACTCTAAACCTTATTTATTTATATATATATATACACACATATTAAACCCTAATCACCCTGTGCCCTAAACCCTTAAACCCCGACCCTCGAACCCTAACAGCACTTCTTTGCAAGATGAGCGGCAGCTCCTGCACCCGGGCCTCTGCAGAGGATCCCCGCAGAGAGTGTTGGCTCTGATGCCTTCGACGCCGATGTCAGGGCTTTTGGATCTACAGGATGCATGGGGTTTGAAAAGTTTGGGTTTAGGGAGGAGGATCTAGGAACTAGAACTTAAGGGCTTGGGGTTTGGGCTGAAGATCTGCGGTCCGAAGGATCTTGTAATTTAGCAGCTTGCATTTATGTAAGGTTTGAAGGATCTAGGATTGAGCCTGAAGACTTTGGGGTTCGGGTTTAACCGCCTCTGGTTTAGGGCTCAGGAGCTCGGGGCTTATGGTTTAGGTGCTCTGGGTTTAGGGTGACGAGTTATGGGTTTCGGGTTTAGGTTTTGGGAGTCGGGGCTTCGGCGTGTAGGGCTCTATGGGCTGCAAAGCAAAAAGAAGTTCACAGAGTATATTGGAGCTGCAGATGTTTTTTGGGGGGGTTCAGACAAGGGTCTCCTGATGTAGAGAGCCCTAAGTAGTTATTTAGTAGGATCCTTGCTATCGGCACCCCAAAGCCGAAATTTTCAAGAAATCCCACAGAAGGACCTGGAAGTTTCGGGCAAGGGTGTGCCATTGCCTCTTGGGGCGCGCTGGTTTCATCAAAGCTTGTGGCTTCAGAAAGAAGGTTCGGCTTCGCGGTGACCAGGCTTTGGGGTAGGCAGCCTATCACACAATGATATGTCACCATGAGGTGCAACTACAGTGGCGATCTGTTCCATGCAGCCCGACTACCAAAACCCGAAACCTACATACTCATTCCTGAAGCTTTTTTTGCTCCGTTTCGTGTCGGCTCACTTCTACGGAGGAGACAATGTTAGAGAACACTTTCACAAGACAACAATAATGAACAATTTGGCGCTATAGGCTGAAATCAAAAGCCAAGATCCTGAAAACATGTCCCAACCAGACGACTGGAACACTGACACCCCGGGGACATGCTTACCCGTAGCCCGACAAGCCTGCAGGCTTAGGATCCGTCTTCAGGGCTTACATATATATTCATTTAGAAAACTGTTTTTGGCCTACAGGTGGGGACTACAGGGTGTCGCGAACCTCATCCACTTTCGGCATAGCCCGAACAGCCACCAGCCGATGTTGGCGACATCACCTCAATGAACAGTGGGGCGGCTTCTTACTGTTTGGGTAGCAGGTCCGATATTTTCTGCAACCCAGCTTAGCTTCGGAGTCTGTCTCAGAGTTTCGGCCCTAGCTTCGGGTTTTTATCAGTTATATTTAGGGGTTCAGGGCTCGTCTCTGCACGGTGTGATTAGGGCCGGGCCGGGTTCATGCCTTAGGGCTTACGGCCTACGTAACAGGTGGCTTCAGGCTTGCCCTCCAACTGTAAGTACTGAAAGCCTCCATCTATAACTTAACCAACCGTTCTCTTACAAAGCTGCGATTGGTTATCAAGCTTGCGTTATCAAGTTTAGCTCCTGCACAGATACTGACAGCGCAAGCTCCTTCCTAATGCAGCGGTGCTGGTCGCGTGCACACACACACACAACTTTCATAATTCTGTGCATAGAGAAGTAGAGCAGAAATTGGCTAGCATTCAAGCAACAGAAACGATCGCGCAAAGCCATTCGAGCTGCAAGACAGACTTCAGGCCTAGGTTCAGGTCCCTGTAAGCAATGCTGGAGCCGAAATCTACGGTTTCCCATGCCCAGCTGATCAGGAGTATCTGTTGTGTTACTTCGGTTTGGGTCTCCTTACCAGTCGGTCCCCAATAACCAGGACAGAGACGAACTAGAAATCCAGAAGCTTGCAGTGCTCCCCACGGCGAAGTAGGCAGTAAGCATACGAACACAAAGGTCTTGAATAACAGCGGCTCAAGGCTCTTAAGTCTCCAACATGCCTGGCTTTACCTAGGTTCCTTAGTGACCCCTAGATAATAAGGGTAGTCTTTTTCCTACCGGTAGTGTTCGGCTTTGATAAGGGTACCCCAAAATAACAAGGCAAAAGTGTACGACTCAGGAAGCTAGTTAGCCAACATAGAAAAGGTTATTATTTAGGCCCCTACATTATTGAACACTGTTTGATCTTAAACCCCTTTTGCTACTGGACTCAAGTCTAGCCAGTCTACGACCCGCAATCATCTTGACCAGAGGCCGACATTTAGGACCCTAAGCCCTAAACCCTGGCTTTAGGCCATGGTTTTTGTGATGCCGGGTGTCGTAGGAGTCCTGCCAGTAGAAAGTTGGCGAAGCGCGGATGCTGAAGGCTCGAATATCTTCCCTCCTCCTGGGAAAACAGCTCAGGTACCACAACTTGTTGTTGATATTTTTGCTTTTTGGTATTATCTATTGATGTTGTGGTTATTATGGAAGGGTGCCGGCTTGAGGGTTTAGGAACCCTATGTACTGCTCCGAAAGTAGCTGAGTCGGAGTACCTATATGGTGTATGTTTTGTGGGTCGATTGGTACTTGGTCCTTTTGAGTCTACGAGTCTGGGAAACCCCAGAGAGTTGTTAGCACCTATTGTGGCTGCTTTGCCTCCATTCTGCTGCCTCTGTCCGGCAATCAACTACCAGGGTTTAGACAACCCTCAGACTTAATTCAAACAGCCACAGCGAAGAACCTGAATCCCTTAGCCTTAAACTTCAGCAAATCGACATGCAGTCGAAAACCCTGAAGTGCACTCCTAACCCAAACCCTCAACCCTAAACCCTGAATCCTGAAAACCTGGTACTTTCGACTCCTCAGCACCGACTGCGCCAGTCACACGTGAGAGCAGCGGACGATTCGATGGAGTCAGACCCCACAATGCCAGAACCTCAGATGTCAAAGACTTTGACGCATTAAGCGTTAAGCATCCTTAGTTACCCTCTGACTCGTGTTGTGCAACAATCGGCTCAGGGAATTGCCATCCGGTTTGGGTTTCAGGGTGTCATAGGGTTTTAGGGCGTGCTTCAACTATCTGTGCAAGCCATGTTGAGTTCATTACATCCAGGCTGGCGGGCTGCGGTCACGATCAGCAAAAGATGCATCCGAAGCCCAACAACATCCTCAAACTGCCCTGTCCATGCCCCGCTCTCTGGGCCGCGGGACCAGAAGGTCCAATGTGTTGAAGAGCAAGGTAAGGCCAAAAACAGGACCTTGGCTGATAGCTTGAAGTTGCATGTTTCCGTGATCCACTCCTTACAGAGACCCAACACCATCCTCCTGGTTCTTGTGATTGGAGCGGCTTTGGAGGAACCCCTGCCCATCATGCCCAAGGGCGCCTCGAGAGTCTCTAGCTTGAAGCTGTAGGCTCGGAGTTGAGGCTTTACATGGGAGTTTCCGAAAATAGGGGACCCTAATTTAGGACCCTAAATAGTGGGATCCTTATTATAAGGACTCCAAGATAAGGTACCCCTAATTTTCGGAAACCCCCACATGACTGTTGCAGGATCTAAGCCCTCGAAGATGTGTAGCACAAAGGGCTCAGTGACTCAAAATGCATCAAAATAAGCCAAACACTCGCCTTGCAGCAGGGTTTACTGTTCAGGGATCATGGTTCCGCAAGTTGACTTTGGAGCTTCCTCTTATAAAGTCTTCCTCCGTGCCAAACCCCACGACAAGATAAGCAAGCAAAGGGGCACCTGCGGGATATCATTGCCTTCTACGCGACCCAAAGAATCGAATACCAACCAATCCACAGGAACCTGCAAGGGTTAGGATCCTGCCGTGGCACTTGGGCGGCGGTTGATCACCTGTTCCCTATCTGAGGTCCTGAAAAATTGAGGTTTCCTTTTGCCGTCCAGAGCCCTTTCATACCCAAGCATTTCGCCCTTAATTACTCTCACTGCCCCGTGCCGGGCCACTGATCAACTCGATCCACAAACAGTGCACGGCTGCCTTGATAGCCAAGGAATTGAAGATTTGCCTGGAAAGGGCTAATCGAGTTTTGCGGGTTCAGAGCTTCCAAGGGTTTGGGGTGTGGGAGGAAATTGGGATTCGAGCTTCCAGTGTGGAGGAGGCCTCCCCTGTCCCCTTTTGGGGGCTTCATATGGAGAGCTCTTTCATGTCAAAGCAGGGCTTTCTCATGTTGGAGTCTCTTGAACTGTCACCAAAGTGTGCGCCCTGAAAGGCCTACTGAGGCTCAATCACTGCCGCCGAAATGCCTATGATCGCTATATCCCTTGCAGCAGCGAGCGGAAGATGTCTGGAAGAGTGACGCGCAGTACCCAACACCCGAGACTCAAGAACCCTAAACCCTAAACCCTTTTTCCTTCTTTTGCCACTGGACTCAAAGGGTTTCCTTTTTTGCATCGGGCCTTTACCACCGCCCGGTAATCCCCACATTCGCTTGACTCAAAGGGTTTCCTAAACCCTAAACCCAACTTCCGGAGATTCGGGGACGGCTGCCTGTGCACACTCCTAGCCGATGCCAGGGCCATGAAGATGTCGATGTCGAGGATATTTGGCAGCAGAAGAGCCAAGGTTTCCTAAGGCCGGAAGTGGAATTTGAATGTTTTGGCTCCAAAACTCAAAAGGTTAACTCAGATGTAAAATGTTCAACTACCAGAGTTAGAATGTAAAACTCTGAATTGGGGACGTCTGGGTTTGAAAGGATATTGAGGTCTGTGGCGCCGCCGGCAGATCTGAGGCCCAGGCGACATCAAAAACGCTGGCACTTCTGGCCTGCTTCTCCCGAGGCACCTCGAGTTTAGTATAAGGGCCTTTCAAGTCAGACTAGGATGACTAGGTTGCTTTGGGAAAAGTACAGTGCAGTTACATGTTGACTCCAAGGGCACATGATTTTTTCTGTTCAAACCTCTAGATACACTTGGACCTGCAGGCTCAACGCATGTAAGAAAGGGGCTGAGGTCCCCAACGACGGTTCCGAGCATGCGGCCTGGAAGTCTTGAGGGTCATGATAGATAGTATGGAGCTGCTGGCAAGCTGCACGAAGAAACTTCGAGTGCCACACGGGTATGTGACCTCGGAGGAACCGACAGAATTCCGTCCGTCGGGTTCATCATGGCTACATGCTATTGTGCTGCTATGTGCTCTTGCTGCTGGCCTATGGCACCACTTCTAGGCCTAGGCGTCCACGCATCAACAGCCGGCCAAACAGCCCCGAACCACAACCTTGACCCCCAAATCCGAGGCCGCACGAACCCAAACCCTAAACCCCAACATTGTAACATTATCGGTGCTGACCTTGAGTCGAGTCTGATCCAAAACCTTATGAAAGATCATCCCGTATTGCTTGGGGTGTAGTATAATAAGTGCAAGCATCAATAGAATAAAGTCTGGCTGCATATGATCGTCAACTAGTTGCAGAATTACAGAGTTCGTTCGTTACTAACTACTCAACCCTAACCTCTGCTTGTAATCGGCATGTCCAACAACCTTGCAGCTCAAACGGCCGGTGTTGACATCGTACTTCCACTCGGGCCATCGAACGCGATCCTCCACAGCGAATGATACTTCGGTGGTGGGAAGAAGCCTCTTTCCCGAATCATCAAGCACAAACGCCTCTAAGTCTCGCTGCGGGTTATAAGTACCATCTGGATTCATCCTGCATGTTCTTGCTAAGGCTACTGCGCAACCTATCCCAGTACTGTTTCCGGGCCCTCAGACTCCCTCAGAGGAACTGTCAGATGCCACAGCAGCTGTGCCTGTCGAGCACCCAAGCGGGTCTCCCGCATGTCGGGCTTGTAAGCACACTGCCTCAGCAGTGGTCCAATCCGATGTTGCAAAACCGAACCTTAGGCCTCCGGTAGCAAGGCCCCAAGACCAGCAATTTAGATGCCCTGAAGACGTGCCTTCGAGCTTTCTTTTTTCGTGGCGAAGTGCAGTCGAAAACGAACTCCTGTGCTCCCTACGGTAAGCTTTTATCCCGATCAGGATTCCAGGCAAGCAAATTTCGAGTTACAGGTTGTTTCAATACCACATATTTTTGTTGTTTTGCCCTCGTGTCTTTTAGCAACGGCCTTCAGACTATACCACATGTTTGAAGACTTGGGCTTTATCTAGATGCTGCCCTACTCTCAGCACCGTGCAGCCGAAATCCTTGAGATGCGATCTAAGGGGCATTGTCCGGCCGCCCAGTATCGCGCGAGAGCTCAGCGAGTGATGTCCAGGACTCTCTTGGATAGGCTTAGCCTCCGCAGAGGGGCTCAGTGTCATGGGTCAATGGTTTCTCCCCTCTAAACGTTAAGGAGCTGTCTCTACTCCAGGATTCAAGAATCAGAGGAGTTCTACCCTAATGCTCCACGTGGCCCAACAACCTGTGTAGTATGCTTTTCCAACATAAAGTGACGTAGCCTCGGGGTGGAGCTTCAAGGTGTTGAGAGGCTGCGTAAGCTTCTCTCTTTTAAGGCTCGGGTCTGGTCTGGTAGAGGCTAAAGGGCTGGCTTGGTCCTGCTACTTCCAATTGGAGCTCGGGGCGCCGAATCGTGATCTTGTTAGGTGTCGCCTTACGAAGCCCAAAGGATGCCAAGGACACTGTTCTAGCTCGGCGCCGTCAAACTCTACTGCACCGAGTCCGGTGGCAAGAACCTTACCTCAACAAATTCGAAGCTCGCAAAACATGAACTGTGCCAAGACCAAACCGTCGCTTGCAGACCACTACTCCCCCTCTTCAAACGCTCAGATAGCTTACACACTCAAGCCGCGGCGATGATACCTTTTGTCGTCGCTCGGCACTACACGCTACGCGGTTCGCCCACTTGGGCCTTTTCAGGCTGTGCCTCGAGACTAAAAGGCTTAGAAGATATCACGCATCAAACTACAATCAGTAGCATGAAAACCCAACACTCCAGACAAAGGACAGGTGAGTCGTCGTCAAAACCCCGTTCTGGCGCCAGTATCCTATAACTCAATCGAAGCGTGTATTTGCGGCCGCCGACTAAAGCCTGACCGACATTGACATACATATATATATATATATATACAAACATGTACACATATATACACACACCTACACATACACATACATATACATGTACAAGATACAGATACACATACGTGCACATGCACACATATTCACACACATGCACATGCATGCATGCAAACAAGCATACATGCTCTCGGGTCCCGCGCTCCCCCCCCCCACCCCCCATGGTATCCGCCCCCTCCCCCTCCCCCCGCTCCCGGCCGCCGGTTCCTGGCCCGCCCCCCGCTCCCAGCACAACCCGGAACGAACCAACGCAAACCAGGGGGAGGGAGGACGATGTAGAATGATCCCAGAACAGAGAACCCGCATCAGAGCAGGGACAAGGGCAGCATTTGCAAGGAGAAAAGAGCAACATCAAATTTTGTAGTATGGTAACGAACACGTAACGATGACATTACTACTAACAAGTGGCAGCAACCATACCATACCTCTGCAGAACACACTGCCCCGCCACAGGCAGGGCGGGGCCAACCAACAAGACCACAGGCCCCACCGCACAGGGGGGTAGGGCACAAGGCATTGAACGATGACAGTACTACTAACAAGCGGCAGCAACCATACCATACTTCTATAGAACACACTCCCCCCACAGGCGGGGCGGGGCCAACCAAAAAGACCACAGGCCCCACTCCACAAATACTCCACAAATAAGAGAGGACAAGGCCAAACAAGACTACCCAGGAAGACGGGAAAGCAACAGGGCCAAACAAGAAGACTACCCACTTGACAGGCAAGGGGAGGGATACCATACCGTGGGGTGGGGGGGGGGAGGGGGGGTGTGGCAGCCCTGCATCATACATGATGGCCACCAAGTGGGCTCCACCGTGTTTCGTCACTGCAGCGACATTGCCAATCTATGGAGTACGGATTGAGGGGTTAAAGGGCTCCGGGCTTCAAAACGTACAGGCGGGATATCTGTTGGGGTATCGGTAGGCCACACAACTACACCCCTGTACACAACCCCATTTTGGGTAGTAGCAGTAGTAGTAGTAGTAGCAGCAGCAGTAGTAGTAGTAGTAGCAGTAGCAGTAGCAGTAGCAGTAGCATTAGCAGTAGTAGTAGTAGTAGTAGTAGTAGTAGTAGTAGTAGTAGTAGTAGTAGTAGTAGTAGTAGTAGTAGTAGTAGTAGTAGTAGTACACGCCGTACAGTACTAGTAGCAGCAGTAGTAGCAGCAGTAGTAGCAATTGCAGCAGTAGCAGAGCAGTCGTCGTTAGGGGGGGGGTATCGGGCGGGGTATCGGTAATCGGCCAGGCCCACACAAACGCTTTCTCTGACTTCGTTCAGCCTATGCATGTAGTTGCGGCCGCCGACAAAAACAAAGACTGTTGGAAACCGTGGGTCATCCCAACATGCAGCCTAGACTACCGGGGTTTTGACCGTGACTCAGGTGAGCTGATTCTGCACCGCACTGCTGTCTCCACCTTTGTTGGCGTCACCCCAGGTCACGACCGATCCATCGCCAAGGATGGCTGCAAAAGCACCCTCGGAGCCGTGGATCTGCTGCACATTCTTAAGCTGACCCTGTACGGCACTGCTGTCGCCACCACAGCCAGCATGACCCCAGGTCACGACCGATCCATCGCCAAGGACGGCAGCAAAAGCAGCGCAAGAGGCTTGGATCTGCTGCACATTCTTCAGCTGACCCTGCACAGCACTGCAGTCGCAACCATAGTCAGGATTACCCCACGTCACAACCGACCTATCGCCAAGGATGGCAGCAAAAGCACCCTCAGAGGCTTGGATCTGCTGCACATTCTTCAGCTGAGTCTGCACAGCGCTGCTGTCGCCACCGAAACCAGCATTGCCCCAGGTGACTACGGATCCATCGTCAAGCATGGCAGCAAAGGCAAAAACAGCGGCTTGAACCTGCTGCACATCCTGCAGCTGACCCTGTACAGCGCTGCTGTCGCCACCAGAGCCAGCAGCACCCCAGGTCGCGACGGATCTATCGCGAAGAGTGGCAGCAAAAGCACTGCCGGAGGCTTGGACCTGCTGCACATTCTTCAGCTGAGCCTGCACAGCGATGCTGTCGCCACCAAAGTCAGCGTCACCCCAGGTCACAACGGATCCATCACCAAGGATGGCAGCAAAAGCACCCCAGGAGGCTTGGACCTGCTGCACACTCTTCAGCTGAGCCTGCACAGCGCTGCTGTCGCCACCAAAGTCAGCACCACCCCAGGTCACAACGGATCCATCGCCAAGGATGGCAGCAAAAGCACCCTGAGAGGCTTGGATCTGCTGCACATTCTTCAGCTGAGTCTGCACAGCGCTGCTGTCGCCACCAAAGTAAGCGTCACCCCAGGTCACAACGGATCCATCGCCAAGGATGGCAGCGAAAGCACCATCAGAGGCTTGGACCTGCTGCACATTCGTCAGCTGACCCTGCACAGCGCTGCTGTCGCCAGCAAAGTCAGCACCACCCCAGGTCACGACCGATCCATCGCCAAGGATGGCAGTGAAGGCGCCACGAGTGGCTTGAACTTTAACCCCGCTTACATGCAATGTCAGCGAGCTCCCATTCTGAATCCCAGTGTTCGTAATCTCCTGGGTTCCACCCAGAACAACTCCAGAGGAGTCCAGAAGCCGCCCTTTCCCGGCTCCAAGTGCGATGCGTGCCCGTCGGCTCAACGTCTGCACAGTTTCATCCAGGCCTACCTCAACAGTTGCGGTTTTGCCGCTGAGCAGTCCAACTTCCACTGCAACCGACATGCCAGACTTCGTGAAGGAAGTCGCAAAATCGAACCCTCAGGTTTTCCCGTAACAGTTTCCTGCTAAAGCCGAGATCGAAACACCGTGCCAACTCAGAAAGAGCTCGGGTTCGCCTTGTTTCGTGGGGCTCCCTATAGAACAGGGTATATAAGATTTCGCAGCTTGAGGTCGAGACACCTACAATGATTCCCTCATGCTCCTCTGAGCCGCAAAGGTAGGAAGCTTTAGCGTATCTTTTCCAACACTCGGGTGCTCAGGTTTTAGGATCTAAATTTGGGATTGCCCCAGGCCGCAAACAAAACCCTTTAAGCCCTAAACAACCACCAACACATACGCCCGAAACTCAAAGAGCCCTCAACCGGTCGGATCCTCCCTTCATCGAAATCCTGGCAGGAAGAAGGGTTTGGGGACATCCCGATAAACAACAGAGGCATTGCCCGGCAAAAATCCACAAGCCCAAAGCTATTCGAAACCCTATATAATCGCCAAGAAACCTAAACCCTAAAACCTGATACCAAACCCTCAACACCAAGCAGCCTTAGCCTTCTTAAGTAGGGCACTTCCCTACAGCACACAATCTTGCAAGCCCCGGAGATTTGGAGAACCTATGGTTTCTTCGAGGTGGTCCTACAGTTTATGTAGGGTTTAAAGGGGCTGCCAACAAAAAGCCTTAAGGCCTCATGCAAGGAAATCATAACCCGGAACTGAAGCCCGAAAGAGATATGTCTTGGATAGAACCCTGATGACAATTTCTCAGAGACTCTAGAACATTATATGGAGGAATTCCAATAATATTAATTGAAGTATACTGGGCAATCCCCAAAGCCTAGTAGTACGCTGAAATTCAATCCTATGAACGAAAAGAAAAACGCAGTCCCAAATGCTACCCCATGAGCATATATGTCATGCTACGTAGTCTGGTTTCGGCCATGGGGTTTAGGGGTGCCCAGCGGCTTAGTCCCAATCGTAGTGCGTAGGTTTTTTTCAAAAACCTATGCGACCCCAAACCCATATGTTCGACAATAGCAAGAGCCAAGGCACCAGAAGTAATCCCAGCATCGACGCCGCGGCTTCGGGGGCCATCCTTGCTTCGGAATTTTTGGGGCCCAAGGGTAGAGTTTGGGGCTTCGGGTTTTCGAAATCTGAGGAACCTTAAGACCTAAACCCCTGAACCCCTAAACCCTTTTTGCATCACGACTTGTGCAATCGCCTGAAGAACATGGACGGAAGGTCAGCACTAAAGCCTAAACCCCTCAACCCTTCCGCCTAAAGCTTCGGATCCTGCCCGGGACTCGGATTTAGGTTCAGGCGTTCGGGCTTCGGCCCTCTGGCTTCGTCAGCAATCCATGGTTGATTCTGGCATCTTGGCGGAGTTCATCCGGCAGCAATGGCCGAAGGATGTCGTCATCACTGCCCGAGCAGCAACAAAGCACAAAGAAGGCAAGCTGAAATTAGCTGGAGAAGGCCTGGAAAGCTGAAGTTCCAAAGAATAGCAAACACTAGATGGCGGCGGACAGTTGCAGAGATGCCCAGCGGCAGCAGAAGAGACTTCAGTATGTCAGCTCAGAACTCGTCGAATTCATCACGGAAAGACTAGGCTGATGCCCAATCTCATATTTAGCCGCCGAACACTAAAACCCTAAACCGATCGTCGCAGTTTGCAGCCGCTCTCTGAATCGTCGAAGCGCGGTTCAGACTGGCGCAGTCAAGCTGTGAGTCTGATCCTCCCTCGAATGCTTGCACGTGGTATTACCGTCCCAGAGAGCCCAGTACCCATGAACCAGCAGTCAGTACACGCTATTAACTCGTAATTATCAAGGCTACCTCTAAGTCCATAACTTCAGATTCAAGGCTTGAGGGGTGTTGGGCTCCCTGGTTGCCTGCTGCTAGAGGGGCTTAACCACGAAACGACGGTCGTCTGTACCTTGATGCGGCCTGTCACAGTGCTTTGGACCTGCGACGGCACCGGAGCATTAATTCTCGTGCCTCAAGAGCATCATTCTCGCGGCCCTGTATGATTTCGCCACCTTCTTCATCTTCCAGAGCGGATGTGCCATTAGGAAGGTGACCAGGCGCGTGGTGATGAGGAGCAGGGCCACCCCAACGCCGCAGGGGAAGAAAGCATAGCCGAGTCCCGGCCTGCTCCAGTTCTTACATTTTTGGACCCCCAAAGGCCCGAGGACCTAAACGAAAACCATAAGGCCACAAGGTAAGGCACTCCCACAAGCCCGTCGCAAAAAAAGAATCAGTTAAGGATGTTGCTTCCTGACAAGAGGGAGCTTGTAGCATTTTCTTTGTGTCACGTTTTCCAGAGCTGCTGCTGGTGTTGTTGTTGCTATTGTTGTCGCTGGCGTTGTCGACTGGAACCTGTGGTAGAGGTGGTGGCCGTGTGGTGGTGGTTGTCGCTGGTCACGGTGGTGGTAGCAGCAGGAGGTGCACCAGCGCGAAGGGGAGGAGCGGGGGTGGAGGTGCAGTGTGGTGGCTCTCCTTATCGTTGTGCTGGTCAAGTTGGGCCGGTGCCGATGGCTGCGACGGCGGATTCTGTTGCCAATGAGTGTTGCACAGATTGCCTCGCTCATGTCGTTGTCTCTGCCGATGTTGCTACTCTTACTATTGGTGTTGTGAAGAGGATCTGATATGTTTCCTTTTGGTGACGATGTTGCTGCTGCGCAGCCGGCACGAATAAGGATGCTCAGTGGAGCACCACCCAGGCCTGAGACCATGCATGACGACTTTCTCCACATAGATGGCACAGAAAGCACCTCCGCGCGGCTTGTGACTAAACCTCAACGAGCACAGCAGCTTTGGCAAAGCAGCCCACCTGCTGGGGGGAAGTATCCTGCACTGGGGTTCACGGTCATGGAGAAGGCTGCGGCAAACATGGCCACCACCCGCAGCATCACGGGTGTGTGGCCCAACAGATCCGAAATCCCAACGGTGAAGAGGCAGGCACCTGAGTTCAGAGGAATGTGTTTCGTCTGTTTGTAGCTTAGCTAGCAGCTAGTCAAAATCCGGAGAGCCCCAAAACTCCTCAAAATCACAAGCCAGTCTTAAATCCCTTCAAACCTGAAAACAAAACAAAAGGGCTTCACTTAATCGCAACCATTTCATTAAATACCTCAAGTCTCAACTTCCACAACAAGCGGTGCAGGTCTTTAGGTCAATACCAGCTGAAAGCACCTGCAACACCACTGCATGCTCGCAGCCCACGAGACCACATCGTCCTCAAAACGATTTGAAATGTGTCTTCATCCTTTTTTCATGGTTTCACAGTGACTGACAGGCTTCTGTGAACACCTTGCTTGTTCGTAAGTACGTGGTTCTTCAGGTTCTCACGGCGTGGTGTCGGGTTTGACGGGGACTCCTTCTGCTTTGGGTTTCGGCTTTAGGGTTGCAGCTGGAAGGTGCATGGCTTGCGGCCTTGGGGTTTTAGCGACAGCCTCCTAAACTTCAGCTTTAAGATCGGTTTAGGCGCGGGTTTTCTACAGGACCCTGTTAATTTCCGGAGTCTGGAAGCAACGAAATCCAGCTTTGTGAGGTCGCAAGCTTACGGCCTCTCGGTACCTCCATGAAACTCCATCCCGGAACACTTACGTTCACCTCTAAACTCCAAACCAAAGTCCCAAACCAATACATGAATTAACCTTAAGCCCCTCAGGCGTCCTCCTGCACAGGATTTTCCCTGCCTTAGCTGCTGCGACAGCCTCGGCAGCAAAGATCAGGACCTGGATTGGAAGACACGCGAGTTAACTGAGACCTAGGGTTTGGCTGCCACCTGATGGCTGTGTTGTTTAAATAAATAGGGATTTCGGGAAGAAGGCTTCTGGTTAGAGTCGAGGCGCGATGGCACCGAATGGTGGGACCCACAATTGTATCTGCGTGACAGCCTGTATTGCCGACACAACCAAAGTGGAGGCAGCGGCCACGAGCGCCGTGAAAAGACCTTCCTCGAAGGTTAAGGGTCTGGTGAAGGAGGAGCCTGCATGTGACTAGAGTATACTAGAGTTATGGGGTTTCTGGTGGCTGGTTTGTCCCTTGATGCTGTCAAACGCTGCATCTGAGTTTCTCGAAATCTCGAAAAGATAAGGTGCATCGTGTACTTCAATGCCTACACCGTCGGGGACAGGATTCCCGAATTTTGAGGTCGCTCAGGTCACGTAAAGTTTTGCTTATCAACAGTACCAAGCATCCCGGTGGTGACCCCCGAAGCCACCAAAAGGGTCCGACTGTGGCGCCCCTTCAGCCTGACTCTTGCCGCTTACTCGCCAAGCCTGTGGTCTGCATCAGGGCTCCTTTAATTTGGATTTAAGGGTTTAAGGTAAGTTTAAGTGTTTAATATAGGGGCCTTAATACTTAGGGTTTTGGGGCCCATTATACTATAGAAGTATGATAGAGGAACGGGAAATTACTAAGGCCCCTATATCAGGGTCTCTAGGGCGAAGGTTTGGGGTCCAGGGTATGTAGGAGCTTCGGATTTTTGCATGGGGGCTTCACAACAGGATAAGTCGTAGAAAATAAAAACACGGCGTTCAGACACCTGCAACATTGAACCAACGGCTTAGGCATCACTTTTTGGACAGCGGCTTTGGGCCTGCAAGGCGTCATCTTGGCCAGTGGGCGTGGAAGTTTAAACTCTCGCAAAGGCGGACAATGTGAAGCACAAGGGTGTTCAAGGTCTAAACCTTGTACGGATTTGGCGTCAAGTTCCCGAAACCTTCAAACTTCAAACCCTGCATCTTCGGATGCATCTTCCCCACTCTGCAAATCGTTGAAGCCTATACCCTTCAAGAGCCCAAACGCCTTAACAGCCCTTTTTCAGTCAGGACTTGTCAGCTTTCGGCTGCTTAATTAAGCCCTTCTCATATCTGATGCATGAGCAGCCTTCGTGTGCAGCTGGCCGCCGGAATTTCTGAAAGCACTGCGGGGCACTGGGCCAAAAGCGGTTGTAGGGCAGCTGAAGCAAAGAAGCACGGCTGCTAGCACCTGGTTCCGGGTTGTCTTTCAGGTTCGGGCTTTTCTGACGTGGGTTGCAATGTTGAAGAGTTATGGGGTTTCCTGGGGTTTTGGGCTACAGTTCATTGGGGATTCCAGGTTTTCTTCTTTAGGTTCGAAGCGCTTCCTGGCAGCGAGAAGTCTTTCTGAAAATGCCGGCGGTTGTGAAATTGCCCTACTCGGATACTGTGCTGCTGATCTTCTCACCAAATGGCACCCCCAACAAGAACCCTGAACCCTCGACTCGAACTCCTGAAGCCTTACTCTCAGGTTGAGCAAAGCCTAAACGACTACTTCGGGTTTTCGGCACTCACACTCGCACTTCCAGGCGACGCATGTCGTCATGACTGTGCTGAGAGGTGAAACCGCACTGGAGAAAGGGACCCGCAACGACCCCCTCCTGTGACTGCCTGTTTGTCAGTTCATCCTAAACCCAGGATCTCGCTGCTCAGCGGCCTGTTCTCGCAATTGTCATCACTAAGCTTTTGAATATATATATATATATATATATTTATATTTATATATTTATATTTATTTATATTATATTATATTATATTATATCATAGTATAGTATAGTATATTACTATATTATATTATATTATATTATGTTATGTTATACTATATTATATTATATTATACTATATTATATTATTATATATAGCCCAATGCAAAAAAAAACAAAAGCTCGGCTCTTTCGTGGCCGAGGTGCGACGCCGAAGACTCCAGCTGCTGCCATCTTTGGGCACAAAAGCTTCGATCGAGGCGGCCCCTACACAAACCTGCGACAAGCCGTTTCTCGGCGGTCAAGACGCTGCAATCTGCAAGCCTTGCATCCGAAGTTCCTATTCTGACGGGTTAGCAGAGAAGTATCATCAGGCCTGATGGGGACCTCGATCGTTCCTTCGAGCCTCGCGTCTGCGGTGGCTGGGTCTCCCAACAATCCCCCGGGCCAACTTATCGCAAGACAACCAATTTTGCAATACCCCTTGAAGTATAGACGGACTCATCCTATGATGTAAGGTATAAGGCTGACTAAGGCTATGGGGCATTGGGCTCCCTCTTCAACCCTGGGTCGACTGATCGAAAGACACGACGGCTACTGGTGTTGAGGAGACAAACGTTGCCGTGGCCGTCACAGTACCGCAGTTGCTGCAGGGGGGTATATGCATACATATGTACGGCACTGATCGGTACCTAAGCCTGCCGCCACGAGAGCTCTAGGCTTCAGTGCACTCCCGGGATACGGAATGCCCAGTCCGCCCACATGGCCCACGCGAAACCTGAAGCGCCACTCCCTCAACTGAGCCCGAACACCGAATCGAATCGCAGCCAACCACACACAAGCAAGTCTCTGATTGTGAAGATTGGCACCCTTAAGAGGGTGCTTTACCTCGAACTCATACATGCAGCAAGGCGTCTGAAGCAAGCTGGCCATGCCTCAGCCCGGTCGGAGGTTTACAGGCTTTCAACTTTGGGGTTCACATTGATGGAGGGCATCTGAGGCCGAGGTATAGTTGGCTGACTTGAATGGCAGGGCCTTCATCAATGGGCAGTGTGCAGAGTACAGCGCCTCGACGGAGCACCCAAAATCCAAAAGTTTGTAGCCAGGCTCGGCAATGGAAATGCCAGGATACAGCCAATCTCCCGACCCCCCGGAACCGGAACCTCACCCGGACACCCTAAACCAGCTGCACGGAGTTTTGTCGAAGCCGAGAGGCAATCGGCTGCATTCTCGTCTTGCGCGTCGACGATGGCCTCCCGCCGGGCTTGAGGGCTTATGCTCCTTGCCTTAAATCGAGGAACTGGGATGCCAATTGTGGGGGGCTCATTAATTTCGGTTCCATGTCATGCAGATCACTTGCATGAGCATTTTCATGGTTCATGAGCATCTGGACCTCAGTATTGTTCATGTTCCCCTCGCACCGCCCTCTCAGCTTGTACGGTGCGATAAAGCCTGGACTCAAGCCTCATCGAGGAGCCCGGGAACGATGAAATCACAAACAAAGCAGCTGCAAACATGTATGTTTGTGCGGAGCTGGGGACTCGCCCTCAACTCCACCTCCCATGTTCTGCGGGGGTCGTGACGCACTTGTGTCGGCAGTCTTCTGGATGATGAGGGAACTGCATTGCAACGCCTAGACTTATAGCATTGAGCTTGAAATGATCACAGTCGGGTGTAATTAATGGACGGAACCCTTCGTAAACCACCCTTTGAGCGAAGCCCCTGGGCCCACGCTGGGCCTTGTGCTTTGCAGTGGGACCCGGCATTCTGGCAACACGGTCTGCAAAGTCCTGTCAGAACCGAACTTGACATGAATTTCGGGAGGGTGGTATCTGCGGGTACTTCGGTGTCGAACGAAGTCTAGAGGGTGTTTTGCGTTTTGGATTCCCTCGCCGTCGCCGTGATGCAGATCGAGGGTCTTATGCTTCGAGTTGGCTTCAGCAAGGTAATCATCTGCCGCACCTAGCACTTGGATCACTTGGATCGAAAGCATTCGGGGCGGTTTGGTGTCAACAACATAACTTGCTTTCTTGATGACACACTCCGCAATGTCCTTCCGCTAGGACCCCAGACTGAACAACACGACCTGCAAACCAAGCCCAAACCATAAACGGGCAATGGGAAGTCCTCACGACACTTAGGGCAGGCCTGCGCTGCCTTGCCACTGTGACCCGACATGAGGGCAAGATCCTGGTGGCATGCTTGCAAGCGACGCAGAGGCCAAGATGCTCGAGCAAGGCAGTTTAAATGTGCGGCTTGGGAGGTCCTTGTAGGTTAGATTTAGTCGGGATTCGGGATTGACTTTCTCCAGCTGCCTCCACTTCGATCTTGGCAATCACTGGCAAATGGGAAATCTGAACCGTACGATATTTGTCAAGCAGAGCGCACTATTTGCAGTATTCGATTAGTTCCCTAAGATCTCCGGGTCTGAGCCCCAGAACTTAAAGTTTAAGCCTCCTGGCTCCTGAACATGCTGGCTGAAGTTGCCCTGAAGTAGCCTGGGAACCAAAGGTCTCACTCTTCAAAAAGTTGAGAGGAGGTGCAGGACTCTCAAGCTCGGCACCGCCAGGTACTGTAAGGATTGCAAGACGGGTCTGGAATTCGACCATATATGGAACTCCAGTTTAACTAGCTTCGCTTACCTGGAGGTTGGGCGGTCCTGTTTACGTAACAGCAAGTACGTATAGACAAGTCAACCCACGTCGCCTTTGTAAGTATGGTTCTATAATTAAGGAAAACTTTCCCCCTGGGCCCAAGCTGGGGTTACTCTCGGATGCATCGCCACCTCAAAGAAGGAGCAGCGTGGCATCTGGGTCGTGTGCAGCCTCTGGTCCAAGACCTCTCACTTGAGTGGAAAAAGACGTAAGGCGGCAGGCCAGCCGTTTCGGGGATTGTTCCTACCTGGAACCCGAAAGTATGTAGAATAATAGCCTTTTATAGGTATTGGGCCATTATTTTACCTACTTTTTGGGGGTTTAGGAAAGATCCGTCCTCTGATATAGTCACAGCAGTAGCAGAACCATATCATGGTTCTGCTACCACTGTGACGAAACTTACAGAAGCCATTGTGTGCTCTACGGGGTTGGGACTGCAGGCTCAGTATGTGAATCCGAGGTCGGTATGCCGAGGATCAACAAGCTTCGGTTTTTACAAGAAGCCTCCACTTCCAATTCGTACTAAGGTACAGAAAATCAACACTGCAACCGTCAGAGGGCCATCGTCCAGAAAGCAAGGAGGGTCGAAAGGAGCGAAGACCATCAGCAAAACAAACGAGACCTTGGATGCCAGGTGCTGGCGCTCTGTGCGAGCTGAGGCATTATGTAGCTCAAGCCATCTTTTGCGAGTGATGCCCGTGGGATCCTGTCAGCGAAACAAAGAACATTATAGAACTAGGCGTCTCTTTTCGTAGCCTGCATGGTGCTGCTATATATGTCCAGCAGCCTGCCCTACACGGTTGGGCCGGTTGGACCACGGAACTGCAGTTCATCGTTGGGGAATCGTTGGGCGAATGAGGGTGATCCGAACTTCCCTCTGTACAACAAGGCTCGTGGTGCTGAGTTCACATTCGGCCTGTGGGGCTTCAAGTGTCGCGGATCTTGGAGCTTGCGCTGTGCACTGTATGGCTGCATGGCTTTTTCTGGATTCGGGCTCGAAGACTACTCGGTAGATTTTACTGAGTTGGACTGTCATGTCGAACTACTTTCTGTGAACTCTTCAAGGCTCAAACCCGCCCTCCGGCTCCCAAACATGCTGCCTGGTAGGAAGGCGCTAGAAGATAGAGCCTTAGCTTGAATGTTCCCCAGAGCTAGGGGCTCTGCTTGGGGGCTTCTGATGTCGATTGGCAAGACCGGCCAGCAAATGCGTACGCAGGCAACTTGGGGTGCTCAAGGATATCGAGGCCTTGGAAGTATGGGAATTTGGGCAGGGCAGTTTCCCCTTACTGGCGTCTGCGTCATGTGCATGTGCACATGCTCCAAGACTCTCTCTCAGCTAACATCTAGCTGCAGTCGTCGACTAGTTGTTTACTTCTGCTCGTGCTTTCAGTCGAAACGACTCCTCTGTCGCGAGGTTTCCTTATCGCGGGCTTAGCTTTAGGGCCTTCACTTGTGGCTTCGAGTTCAGGTGGCTGTTGGCGCCACACCCCCAGACTCCAAGGCCTCAACCGAAAAAAACCCTCCTGCATGAACCCGGTCCAAGAGACAGGTGCTTGGGAAACAAGCTCCCCGGCTTCACCGCAAGCTCCAGTGGAATTCGGCCCAGGACTGGGCGGAAAACTTGTGGACGTCGTCTTGTTGGTTCTTTTTTGACACCAACACTCGGCAATACCAAAAGAGGTCCAAAGACGATTAGGAGAGTATGATGAGCGGTGGCCTCGTTGTTTAAGGTTATAGGGTCTTTAGGTTTCATATTTGTTCTTCAATCCTGGGGGTGTAGGGTTTGAGGGTGGAGATTCGGGTTTAGGGTTCTTACTGAAGTCTTACTGTTCAAGGCTTCGGAGCTCAGAACTTTCCTGCAGCAGGCGGCCGCTACCGTCCTCGGTGCCCTCGTCGACGGCTGCGCGAGCGCGGACCAAAGAACGAACGACGACCTGCACAGGGCAGCTTTCTGTTGGGTGCTTTTGACCTCTAACTCGGCTTTTTCCCTCTCGCATTCGGTTTAGGGTTTAGGGCCTCTAAGTGTCTGGCTCTTTGTAGGGATTGGGGGGAATGGATTATGGAGACTGTTAGTGGGGATTATGTAGGAACTAGTAGAGGGATCCATTCCCCCCTTTCCCTACGTGTGCAGCATCGGCCACACGAAGTGGCCTGAACCAAAAGCTTGGAGACAAAGAGATTCCAGCCGCACCTCCACATCGTCGTCTTCATCCATGCCACGCAAGGCCAGCCAGTGCAGGGCCGTAAAGCCTTCCATATTCTTGACCTGGAGGCGATAATGGTTTCGGTATCTCGGGCAGTTGGCTTTATACCAGGCGCGCAGTTGCTAAAGCTCATCTTTCTAGTTTGCCCCGAATCAAGCCTCACACACAAAATCAAAGCCCGGAACCTTAAGCCTCTAAATCCTCTAGACATCCGGCCCGGACCTAAACTCCCCAACCCTTAAACTCACAAAACCCAAACCCTAAACGACTTTTCCCCAAACCTTAAACTCACAAACACCCAGGCCATAAACTTTTTCCTAAATCCCCAACACCTCGAAGCAGGGGTGTCTGGTCTCCCCTTAGAAAGGATTGTCTC